CCCCGCCCCGCCCGCGCCGGGCGCTGGTTGGCGGAGGCGGGGCGCTATGCTAATGAGCCTGACCCTTCCCGCACCTGCCTGGCCCCGCGCTGCCCCGCGCCCGGCGCACCAGCAGTCGGGACCGCGCTCGCCCTGCCGCGCCCTAGCCCGCCGCCCAGAAGAGGAGCATGCCGCGTTCCTTCCTGGTGAAAACGCACTCCAGCCACAGGGTCCCCAACTACGGGCAGCTGGAGACGCAGAGAGGTAGAGGCTGCCGGGCTCCCGAAACGCCCCGAACTCGGCCCTGCAGGAGGGAGGGAGAGGAGGCCCCTGGGAGCGGAGGACACCTGCCCAGGTGGGAGGAGGTGCTCGCTTGCTTGCACAGCTTCCGGCTGAGACCCCGGGCTGGGCGTGGGGGGGCCCATGGGCACGTTCTCCTCTTCAGGGGGCACGGATCCCTTCCCGACTTAAACAACTTTCCTAGGCCCCCAGATCTCCCTGGGGCGCTCCACTAGAGACCGCCGCCCTGCAGCCCCAGCTAAGGGGACCCCGGGAGCTTCTTCCCCGTGCAGGAAGAAGTTTGGGAGGGGCCTGGAGTGGTGGGAGAGACGGGGAGGGCAGAGCATCCAGACCCGGGTCGGGAGCATCGGGCAGTGGGCAGCGGTTCACGCTGGCTGGTCGAGCAGGATTCCAACTGGGCCTCTCCCCTCCAGAGGAGGGGCTCCTCTGACCTCCCTCTGCTCACCCTGGGGCAGTCTGGGGGGTGGGCAGCGGTCCTCCACGTACTGCCTGGGTGGGAGGGGAGTGTCCAGTATCTGGCTGCCCACTGTCCTGACTCCTGCTCCCCGTGGACACCAGATCTGTGGTGTCCAGGGAGGACTCTGCCCTTCAGAGGAAGGAGAGCCTGCAGCTGGGGCGTTGGGGAGGTCCCCAAGGAGCTGGGCAGCTTCTCGGGACAAAGGCCCACCAGGGGACAGGGGCGGGTCCATCACTCTGAGAGGAGGGTGGTGGTGGTGGGCAGGGCCCCTCAGAGGCCTTCAGCTCTACTCTGCACCCCAGTGGGGTGGGAGCCCAACCTGAGTGAAGACCTGCACCCAGGCTGTCAGCAGGGGGCACACTCTGGGACCATGGTTTTCAAATGTGCCTTTTAAGGAGTCACCACCAGGGGTTCTGTAGGTTGACATGGGACAGAAAGTATGGGGGTGCAGTGCTGGCTGCAGTGGCTGTGGTCGCCCTCAGGGGTACGAATGTAGAAGGGGGATGGTCAGATCCCAGGGGCCCTAGCTTAGAAGCTGGGGTCCCACCCTGCTTTAGCAGTGGAACGTGAGCCCCGAGGACACAGTGCTGCACAGTGGGGAGGCCACAGCCTCCTGCCTGCTGCAGCCCCAGCCGCCCGGTAAAGTCCCCCCGGGTGCTGGCCCCCCCCGCCTGTCTCCTTTCACATAGCTCTTCTTCAGGGCCGAGAAGCCCCAAAGCCCCTTCTCCCAGGAATCTGGGCTATGGATGGATAAAAAAGCAAGCATGGGGCCAGCAGATGGCGTAATGGTTACGTCACTGGATGGCCACATGGCTGACCACGGTTCGAGTCCCAGCTCCAGAGGTTTGAAACTCAGGCCAGGCAAGTGCATGCGAGCCCAAAATTCCGAGAGGAGAATGGAGGAGAAGGGACTGTGGCGTGGCCATCCTTCTGGGGGGTGATTTCTCCCTTTCTGTCTGTCTCTCTCTCTGGCAAGTAAATGCACCCTATAGCCAAAAAATATTTAAAAAAAAACAATTATTTATTTAATTTTCATTTATTCATTTATTTATTTTAATTTGACCAGAGAGAGACAGAGAGTGAGAGAAAGCAAATCACCAGATCCGGACTTGAACCGTGGTCAGCCTTGTGGGAGTCCAGCACCCTTAACCCCACACCACTTGCCAGTCCCAAAAAATCTCTCTTAAAAAAAAAAAGCACGCAAACCTCAGAGAGTACAGAGAAGCACGTGGTCAGTGGCACCCCGTGGGCCTCTGGGCTTGTCCACTTTGGGTTTGTATGGTGCCTGGAGCCGGGGAGGCGGCCAGGTAAGGTCTGGAGGAAATGATGCCAGGGTCTGTCCTTGACCTTCCTGAGCCTACTTTGTCACCAACACTGTCACCGTAGCTGTTCCCTGGCCACCCTCCGGGTGGCGTGCTCTCACTGTGGTTCGGACAGTATCCCCTGACAGCGAGCGGGCCGAGCACCTCTTCACGGCATGTCTTTGCATAAGTTCAAATCCCTTGCCCGCTCTCAAGTGGCATTTGTCTCTGTGGTGGAGTTGCCTGCGTTCTTCCTGCACTGACCTCTAGTTCTTGAGAGCTTTCCGACACTCTGTAGGCTTTCTTACTCCAGTCTCAGAAGGGAGGTGGGCCAGGGGCCACAAGCTTACTTAGCGCCCGGAATGAGAGAGGAGGGCGGGCCGGTGGAGACCCAGCACTAAGCCGGACCTGAGGACCTGCCTGTTGGTGGGCTACAGCTGTGACCTGGAGAGGCAGGAGTGGGCCAGCCCACGGCTGCAGAGCCTTGAGGACAGGCCCAGTGCCAGAGCTCCCGCCAAAGCAGCAGCCACAGGCCCAAGCCACAGCGGGCGGAGGGCCGGCTGCCCAGCCGAGGACACAGTGCTGCACAGTGGGGAGGCCACAGGGTGATGGGTGACCACAGGCTGATTACTTGGGAGGTGGGCAGGGGCGGTCTCACGTGGCTGACACCCAGACCACTGACTTAACGCCCGTGGAAGCTGGAGGGTGTGCCCCGCTGTGCCCATGGCACAGAGGTGGGCCAAGGCCACTCTGAGAAGCCTGCCGAGAGAGGCACGGTGCGTGGGTGCCTGCCCTGGAAGCCTTTTCTGTAGCTGCACATCAGGGCTGTGGGAGGGTTCCCTCTTCATAACTGTCTGTAGAGTGCGCACATTCATGGAGGTGCGGAGGAAGCATGCCTGGAGGGACGGCCACGCAGTAGCCCCCTCTCCCCCATTCTCTGGGGACGTCGGGCACGCAGGCACACGGACCCGGCATGTTTCTGTGCCTCCAGGCCCAGGTTTGCACCAGCAGTTGGCCCAGGGCCTGAACTACCACACCACCTGCTGGTCAGCGTGGTTCTGTTTCCTTGTTTCCATTTTTATTTTCTTTTCAAAGATTTTTGCTATAGGGTGCGTGTGCTTGCTGGAGAGACAGAGGAGACCGAGAGACAGCAAGTGAGAAATCACCCCATGGGGGGATGGCTATGCTGCAGCCTCTCTTCCTTCATTCCCTGTGGGAATTTTGGCCCACAGGCACATGGGCCTGGCATGAGTTTCAGGCCACTGGGTCTGGGATTTGAACCGCGGTCAGCCATGGGGGAGTTTAGTGCCGTAGCCACTACGCCACCTGCTGGCCTCTATTTCTTTTAAAGAGCAACAGAGATCCGCTCTCTGGACCCAGGTCCTGTCCTGGACTCCCCTGCGACCCCAATGTGGTCGCAGCCCTGCTTCCGTAGGCACCGCCCTCCCTTGCAGGCTGGGTCAGCACACGGGTCCTCTGTGCCGGGCCGTGGAAGCCTGTGCAGTCACGCTGCGGTGAGTGGTGTGGGTAGAAGCAGGATTCTGTCCTCACCTGGACACTCTCTGTCTTCCGCCCTAGAAATCCATGGTGCCTGCTCTACCTGTGGGGGCCTGGTGGTGCCCTTTCTCCCCACAGAGGAGGCCCCCTCTGCACCTGCTGACCTACCCCGGCTCTGGGGCCACACCTCAGCCCTCGCCCGCACCGCGCTGCCCCTCCTGCTGGATAACGAGGGAGCTCTGGGGACCTCTGGGCCCGAGCCCCTGGAAATGGGCCCCCCTCGGGCTGGCCGTGCCCTCGGTGCACCCCTCAAGGACAGCTTGAACCACCTCAACTTGCCCATGCGCTGGCCCCCGACCCAGGGCCCATCTGGGGACGGAGCCCCGGGCAGACTTCCGAGGGCAGAGCAGGCAGCCCGGGCCCCGGGGGACTTTGACTGTGCTCACTGCCGCCAGCCCTGCCACGCGCTGGCCGGGCTGCACCGGCATGGGCAGCTGCGGGCTGGGCGCGTCTTCACCTGCAGGCACTGCGGCAAGGAGTATGCCAGCCTGGGCGCCCTCAAGATGCACATCCGCACCCACACGCTGCCCTGCGTCTGCATGCTCTGCGGCAAGGCCTTCTCCAGGCCCTGGTTGCTTCAGGGCCACATTCGCACCCACACAGGTAGGACGGGTGGGGGACACGGGCCAGGAGGGAGAGGAGGACGGTTTCGTGGATGGCAGGTGGGCGTGCCTGCGCTCGGCTTCGAGCGGTGGGACCAACCTGCTCACAGTCCAGAGGCAGGGCTTACGTCCCAGCATGTGCAGGCCGCAGTCCCTGGAAGCTCCTGGGGTGGCCCCAGTGCTTAGTTTGCGGCCATGTGCCCCGTCTCTGCCCCTTGTCCTCACATGCCTTCCCGTGTGTCTGTCGTGGGAGCCCCATGGGCCTGCCCTGATGGGCTCGTTTCAGCCTGATCTTGTTTGCCAAGACCCACTTCCAAGTGACGTTGCAGTCGCTCTGGCACAGGGCTTCGGCTGACCTCTGGGGGACACCGTTCCACCCACAGGGACATGCAGGGTCTCAGCTAGCCGGCAGCCCACGTCCCATAGCCTTTGGGGATGGGGGTGGCCGGAGGGAAGCGTCTAGGCCTGGCTGAAGCACAGAGACTCTGAATTTGGGGAGATGGGAGATGAGGGGGTCAGACCAAAGGAGGGGGCACAGGACAGCTGGGGGCGGAAGGAGAGAGGAAGGCGAAGGACGTGGATCTGGCAGGCCCAAGAGGCCAGGGCTTAAGTGTCAGGGACCGCGGAGCTGCGGTCGGTGCGCCAACACCACGCAAGGCAGCTGGGTCCCTCCCCCATGGTGGCCAGGATCATGTCCCGGCCTGCCGACTCAAACCCTGAGAGTGCCGGGCTGGAGGTCTGCGGTGTGACGGGGCCCCGGGGCCTCTTCCTCACCCGTGCATGACCACTCATCTTTTGGCATAAAAATATATTTTAAAAAATTATTTTGTTATTTAATTTTGTTATTATTATTTATTTTTTAATTTGACCAAAGAGACACAGAGTGAGAGAAGAGGGAAGTGGGAAAGCAAGCCGCCAGGCCCAGGACCTGCACCAGTTGGCCATGTGGGAGTCCAGCACCTCAACCACCATGCCCCCGGCCAGCCCAGGCATAAAAATATATTTTTAAAAATAATTATTTTATTTAATTTTCCTTTTTTTATTTTTTAGAAGTTTTTGCTATAGGGCGCATGCGCTCGCCAGACAGACAGAGAGAGACAGAGAGACAGAAAGAGTGAAATCACCCCCTCAAGGGGGGGATGGCCACGCCACAATCCCTTCTCCTCCATTCTCCTCTCGGGATCTTGGGCACGCACGCACACGCACCCGGCATGTTTTAAGCCACCGGGTCCAGGACGTGAACCGCGGTCGACTACGTGGGAGTCCAGCAACATAGCCATTATGCTAACTGCTGGTCCCTAATTTTACTTTTTTAATTCATTTGTTTTATTTTTAATTTGACCACACAGAAAGAGAGAGCAAGAGAGAGAGAAGGTGAGAAAGTCAGCCATCAGGTCTAGGGCTCGAACCATGGTTGACCATGTGCGAGTGTCCAGCACTTCGACCACCATGCCACCTGCCGGTCCCCATAAAATTAAAAAAAAATTTTTTTGGAGAGGTTTTTGCGACAGGTTGTGTGTACTTGCCAGAAAGACAGAGAGAGACAGAGAGACAGAAAGCAAGAAATCACCCCCCAGGGGGGATGGCCACACCGCAATCCCTTCTCTTCCATTCTCTTCTCGGGATCTTGGGCACGCACGCACACGTGCCCGGCATGAGTTTAAGCCACCGGGTCTGGGACTCGAACTGCGGTCGACTACATGGGAGTCCAGCGACATAGCCATTACGCTAACTGCTGGTCCCCCCATAAGAATATTTTTAAAAGGAGTAATACCCATAGAGAGTGGAGGTGCCTGCTCTTCCCAGGGCCAACCAGCGATTCAGCCTGGGTCGTCCTGTTGACCACAGTGTGCAGAGTGAGTGCGGACCGGTAGTGCTGGAGGTCCCCGCCCAGCCAGCAGTCCCGTCTGTCCGAGGCCCACTGCATGGAGTCCAGGAAGGCACCCTCCGGAGCCCACTTGCAGGCCCCGGGAAACCTGGCCCTGCACGAGGACTGACTTCCCCAGCCCCTGGGGCCCACGCACCTGACCCGTGCCTTTCCGGGCACGTGCTCTTGCCCAGGGCTGTGCCCAAATCCAGGCAGCAGGAGGTGGCTCGGGACCGCAGGGTCCACAGGGCCGATGGACTGGCTGGGCGATGCCCAGGACCCCTCCCATCCTTCGGGGCCCATGGTCACCTAGCCGGAGGTGGCCCCTAAACACTGCCTCCTCAGGAGCCACTACTCACCTCCGCTCTACTCTCAGGCTGGACGCTGCAGGAGCCCAGCTGCCCCACTCATGCGCTGGTGGGCAGGAGCAGCTGCAGACGAGTGGCCAGGCTGGGACGCTCCAGACGAATGAGGCCCAGTGGCCGGGGGAGGCCCAGTGGCTGCGGCCACCTGCAGCCCCAGCAGCTCTGGCCTCGGTGCTCCCCAGGGGAGGAACAGGGTGTTCGCTGATGGACGGGACAGTCCAGCCTGCCACAGGCACTCACCCGGCCCTCCCATCCTCTCCAGGTGAGAAGCCCTATGCCTGCCCCCACTGCAGCAGGGCCTTCGCCGACCGCTCCAACCTGCGGGCGCACCTGCAGACACACTCGGACGCCAAGCGGTACCCGTGCGCGGCCTGCGCCAGGACCTTCTCCCGCGTGTCCCTTCTGGTGCGGCACCAGGGGTCTGGCTGCTGCTCCAGCCCCTGAGAGGCCGCCAGCACAGGCAGGGCCGAGGCTGGCGCCCCACGTTCCCTGGTGTCTGGGGAGGGCGGGACCTGACCTTGTGCTCGGGTCTTCTGCCATGCCCACACAGAGTCCACAGGGGGCCTCTCTCCCCACCATGCCCGGGGCGAGGAGCCGTCTCCCCCAGGGAAGACTTCCACCCAGAGAGGAGCATGGTTCTGTCTCCGCCTTGACCATCCCTGGCCGGGCCTGGCCGCCAGCATGGACCTGTGTCTGCCCGGACGGCGCCTACACTGCCAGGGCGAGCAGTTCAGCGTGGGCAGGCTCCTCCGTGCCGTCCGGCCACCACTCAGTTCACCTCCTCCCGCCTGTGTTGGGGGCTGAGACCAGCTGGCCCATGTCACGTGTGCACGTGAGCACACACATCCACACACCACCTGCCCGCCTCTCCAGACTGGACACAGAGGATGGCGCGAGCGCCTGTCGCAACCTCAGACCTCAGGAGCCACCTCCCACGTCAGTGCCGGGCAGACAGCTCAGAATAAAGCCTGTACCCGCTGCCTGCCGTCCTCTGCACTGTCTCAGCCCGGAGCTACCAAGGAGGCCTCCCGCATGCCCAGAGTGCCCGAGGCAGCAGGCATCTAGGACACTGTGGGCTTTCCAGCCAGGCCAGGCATGGGGCATTGCGCCGTGAGGTGGGGGCGCTGCAGCCAGGCCGGCCGGCTCTCTCTACAAGAAATGAGGCCAGAGGGGGCCGCTCCGGGCCGCGTGGCAGGCTGCGGGAAGGGCCTGGGTTTGCACGGGCGAGGGCCTGCAGGAGGAAGACTTGAGGAGACAGCCGGGCCCATGTGGGTGCAGCGGCGGGCGGGCTCCATGGCCGCCCCACCGAGCTAGAGAGTCATTCGGGCCCTACCGCCAGCTACGGAAGCCGGGTCCGACGTGGCCGCAGCCGCTCTGACTGCGCGCGGAGACATCGTGTGACGAAGTGCTGGGCTCAGCCCACCTGCCGAGGCGGGCGCCCAGCTGGACTCAGCAGCCAAGGCCTGCCCCGCAGAGCTGACTCAGCGGCCAAGGCCTGCCCCGCAGAGCTGTGTCCTGCCACGCCTGGCTGCCCGCTGTCCGTCTCTGGCTCAGAGAGGGTCTGAGGCCAACAGAGACTGGCGGAGCCCCTGGCACCTCTGCCCAGGGCGTGGGAGGGCAGGGGGGAATCTGCACGCAGCAGGAGGGCTGGTCCACTGTTGGCCTTGGCTTGTGGACGCCTCGCCCTTCTCTGCCCACCCCAACACACCCCGTCTCAGCTGTCACCTCTGCAAACGCCCCGTGTCTAAGTGAGGTCCAGCCCGAGGTCCTGGTGGTGAGGACTCCATGCGTGTGGGGGCGGGCAGTGAGAACACATGGGCCTGCACCCTCGTGCTCAGAGCGAGGCTGAGTGAGTGTGGCCCTCCTCCATGCTGTCTGCAAGGGTCGTGGGACCGTCCGTCTAACTGAGGAGGGGCCTGGGGTCCCCTTCCTGCGCTTTCCCTCCCCCGACTCCTCTCTGCACCCCTGGTCAGGGCAAAGGTTGGATGGTCAGCACCAGGCCCAGCAGGCCTCTCCCTCTCGCCGGCTCTGAGCACCTGGCCTCACACTCGGCCACACGCCTGGGCGGAGGGTTCCCTGGAGCCTGGCACATGGCAGCTGCCCGATGGACGTGTGTGCTGGAGCCCAGGCGTCTCACAGGGCAGCTCTCGTTCTTCCCAGCACACGCAGATGCCTAAAGGAAGCTATATTGTGAATCGCGTTCTATTTCTGGACTCCAGCAGCTAAAAGCAGCCACTGCACCTGTCGGGCATGAAGGGGGAATTTCACAGGCCCGAAATACGCTGCTCTCCCTCCACACCAGCCCATGGAAAATGCTCCCACATTTATCTCTGGGCTGGCGTGGGGCAGGGGCAGAAGAGGCTGGGTTGGCAGAGGCTGGAAGAAGGGCCAGGCGCGTGCCAGGGCCCAAACGCTGTGAATGGAGCAGCGCACACAGCAGTCAGGCTGCAGGCTGCACACGGGTGGCGCCCACCCAGGACGCATGTGTGGCCGGTCGTTCCTCCTCGCCGCCGCAAGCCAGCAGCCTCTCCGGGACCGCCCAGTCCCACAGGGAGAGCAGGGGCTGATGCACCAGGAAGGGTTTGGAACGGGAGGCTGCAGCGAGCTCTGGGAGGTGGGGCTATGCAGGGAGCAGTCCCAGCAAAGGAGGTGGCCGGGCTGCGCCCCCACTTTTGCTGACTTGGGGTGAGGCGTAGGAGACGCCTGGCCCCTGGGAGCAGGCGGGCGAGGGGCAGCCGCCTCTGCCACCCACTCCCCACCCCTTGAAGGAATCCTCTCCCCAGAGCCCGGCAGGCCAGCAGCCACCTTTGCTTGCAGAGCTGCGAACGCCTTGGCCCTGGCTGTTCAGGGCTCTCTAGGTGTTTGAAAATAGTTGCTCGTTGCTATCTATACACCCAGAGGGCCTGGCCTGGCCTCCGTGGCAGCTAAGTTTAGCTCCTGGCAAAGTTCAATGGAACACAAGTTTCCAGGCCCGCTACCTTCTGGATGGCAGAACATTCCAGAAAGAGCACCTTGGCTGCTAAGATTCAGGGGAGCTGGAGGGAGGCAGCGCCGCCGCTCGCATGTGAGTCTCAGGCAAGCCCTTCCCGCCGGACCCAGAGGAGGCGCTCCTACTGGTCTTGCCGACCTACCATGGGCCATCATGGAGCCTCGGTTTCTTGGTCCACGTGAGAGAGGACCTGGCAGAGAGAGCCACGAGAGTTTGGGCTGTGGGGGCGCCCTCCGCTGTCTCCCCGAAAAGGAGAGACCCCTGACGCCCCAGCCCAGCCTCTGTCTCAGCGCATAGACGTGCCTGCGTGCTCAGGAGGTCCCAGGGTGTGAACCCAGAGCCAGTCCCTGTGGTCTAGCTGCTTCACTGCCACCTGCCCCGTCCACTCTCTGACCACCAGCACTGGCTGCGACTAGCCCCTCCTCCCAGCGGCCCCCACGCTGGCCCCAGGCATGGCTGGAGCTGTCACCGCGGAGCCCTGGGGCAGCTGTGCAGAGTGGAGGTGCTGAGGGTGGGGAGGAAGCTGCAGGAGTCCCAGGCACAGGACCCAGCCAAGAGTGACGGGGTTTCCCACCTGGCAGGGAGCACGGACCCTCTTCTGGAACCCCAAAGGGAGGCCAGAGGCCCCTTTGTAACCTGCTGTCAATAAGTGTCCCCAGGCCCCGCCCCCAGCAGCCCTTGCCTCTCCTTGATGACTGTCCTGAGGGAGGGGCTCATGGTCACTGTGCCTGTCCCCAACCTGCTGCCCGGGAGCAGGCCCAGCGGCCCAGAGGGGGCGGCCGCAGCTGGAGCCCTGTCTGCACGTCTGCCTCTCACTTTGCGTGGGCTCAGAGCAGAGGAGGGACGGTGTGGCCGGCCGCTCCGGGTCGTCCTGTCCCTCGTCGTGCAGAACCGCACTCTGCCGACTTGGTGCAGGTGGTCGCGGACTCCGTGGGACGCTCTCGGGGCCAGAGCTGGGGGGCACTGTGCCCTGCACATGCTCTGAGGGTGCAGAAGTGGCAGCAGATGGGATACCTGCATGGCCCACCTGGCGCTCCCAGGACACCAAGTGTCTTCCACGCATCCCTTTGCGCTCTGGGGACCGCCATGTGTGGGACCCATGCCGTGAGGGACCACCACCCATTGCCTGGAAGCTTCAGAGGACGGAAGACGGGGTGGCGGCTTTGCTCGAAGTTGAAGCTGCATTTCGAAGTGGAGGCGGTCTGGACGCTTACCTGCAGGCAAAGCTCGAGGCTCCCTGTGCGACAGGCTCCTCTGGGGAGAGGGTTCCGACACCCTGCGAAGCTGCGCGGGCATCGTGCCCCCTCAGGCGAGGCCCACATGCGAGTGCGGAGAGCGTGCTAACGGGTGGGCCTGGCTCTGCCTCACGGCTACCTTGGAGGGTCCCCACCTGCGGAGCGTGACGTACCCCAGCCAGGAGGAGCAGCCAGGGCCACCTGAAAGGCCCCTGGGACGCCCCGGGGCAGATGCAGGCCATGTTGTGCTCAAGAGAAGAGGCTGCAGGGTGGGGCCGGCAGGTGGTGCAGAGGTTAAGGCCCTGGGTGCATATGTGCATCCAAAACCCTGAGAGAGACGGGCAGAGGGACCGCAGCATGGCTGTCCCCCGGGGAGGGACTCCTCTCTCTCTCTGGTGAGTGCACAATATCCCATAGCAGAAGCAAAACAGAACAGAAAGAGAAGTGACTGCAGTCCGGACCCCTGGCCCGGTCAGCCCGAAATGCAAGTGGGCCCTGTGGGGCCTGTCCTCTCCGACTCTGCCTCCCTCCCTCTCTCACACGCATGGATTCTCCCATATTAAACGCAGGAAAGGCTGGGGCCAGCGGGTGGTGTGGTTACGGTGCTGGACTTCACATGCTTGACCACGGTTCGAGTCCTGGACCCAGCAGCTTGAAACTCACACCAGGCGCATGTGCGTGTGAGCTCCAAATCCTGAGAGTGGAGAAGGGATTGCAGCATGGCCATCCCCCTGGGGGGGGCTTTCTCACTTTCTGTCTCTCCAATGAACACACGTGCCCTATAGCAAAAATCTCTCTCAAAAAGAGACAGGCTAGGGAACCAGCAGTTAGCGTAATGGCTATGTCGCTGGATTCCCACGTAGTCGACCGCGGTTCGTGTCCCGGACCCGGTGGCTTAAAACTCACGCCGGGCGCGTGTGCGTGCGTGCCCAAGATCCCAAGAGGAGAATGGAGGAGAAGGGATTGCGGCGTGGCCATCCCCCCTGGGGGGTGATTTCTCGCTTTCTGTCTCTATGTCTCTCTCTGTCTGTCTGGCGAGCGCACGCGCCCTTCTGGAGAGCGCATGGCCCTATAGCAAAAACCTCTCAAAAAAAAAAAAAAAAAAGAGACAGGCTATGAAGACACTTTCTGGGCCGGCCCATGTCCAGGTGTAAGGAAGCAGGAACCCCCAGGCGACTGCGGTTCGAGTCTGGCCCCATCAACTTGGGAAACACTCTCCCTGTCCATCTCTCTGCGTACCTCACCCTGGGGCAATTAAAAAATGTAAACTCTTCTTCGAAGAAACTTTTCCAGGCCCAGTTGCTGTGGTGTGCTGCTAAGACCATAGGCTGGGACCACGATGGGGACAGAGTTCAATCTTCAGCCCAACCTAAAGGCCAGGCCAGAGCTGTGTGTCCGAGGGGCAGGGCAGGGCAAGACCCACCTGAAAACAAACCTGAACGCAACTTTCAGACTCAGACCCACGCCCCCGCCAGACCCGCATCCCCCCGAGACCAGCGTCTCTGCCAGCACCCACTGAAGCCCCCCGCAGGGGCACCCGGGGAGGCTCGCCTGCACGCTTCAGAGGGACCCCTCTTTCCAGAGATAGTCACCTTTCATAAAACATGTCTCCACAAGGCGGAGCTGTCCTGCAACCGGCCACTCTCCCTCCTTTGAACTGTTCTCTTCCTCCTTTTTTGCTGTAGGGAGCGTGTGCTCGCCGGACAGAGAGGGAGACGGATGTCAGCCCAGGAAGATGGCTTGCCACAATCCGCTCCCTCCTGGGATTTTGGGCACACGGGCCACCAGGTCCTGACTCAAACTGTGCCGGCAGCCACGTGGGGCCCAGAGCCTTCCCCGCCATGCCCCGCTGGCTCCTCCCTCCATTACTGGGATTCTGGGCCATGGCGGCCTTCCCTCCTCCTGGAACGCACTGTCAACCCTGGCCGGCAGTCGGCCTCCAGTCCCACCCTCCTGCAGGCCCCAGAATTCTCCCAGGAGTGTCGCGCAGGGTGAGGTGGCGCCCGGACCACGTGTCCGTGGACGAGAGAAACTCCTTCCATGGCAGGCGGTTCAAGCAGAAAGGCACCCCGGTGTGTGAGCCACGGCCCTGCTGGCGATGGAGCTTGTCCGAGGTCACACAGCGCGTGGCTTGGCACACAGCTGCCTCTGACCCCTCCCACTCCCGGCCCCCTTGTTCACAGGCAGGGCCTTGCCCTGGACACTCTCTGGCCCAGGTCACCTGGGGAGGGCAGTGGCGGCTCCTGGGCTGGCTCGCTAGGGGCTGCTGGGCAGGCAGAGGCTCCATGAGCCCTGTGCTCTGTGGACTAGTTGAGCGTGGATGGACCTCGGACGCCTTGTGCTGTGCCGGGGCCTGTGCGGCTTCACCGTGGCTGTGCCGGGGGCCGCGCCGCGTCACCGTGGCTGTGCCGGGGACCGTGCCGTGTCACTGCAGCTGTGCGTTTGCTTCGCCACAGGCTTTCTTACGAGCTGGAGGCTGGCCTTCTGTGATCGGTGGTGTCTCCTGAGTCCCCGGCCACCAGTGTCCTCAGGTGGTCTCCCTCCATAGGGGCTGCGTCCTGTTTTCTCCTTTCCCTGGTCAGGTTGGACTAGGGCCCTCCCTAAAGACTTCATCTTACCTGAATTCTCTCTCCAGAGGCCCCGTTGGAGGAGGCCCTGGGGTGGGACTCCTACGCGTGGGTTCCGGGGGCAGTGGGGGCACACGGTCTGGCCCGGACGTCCCCCCTTCAAAGCTGCGTTGGAAGAAGCGCCTCGCGTGGTCCTCCCCAGGACCGGGAGCAGTGCTGCAGGCCCAGGTGGAAGGAGGGCTTCCTTCCACCCCCAGGTGGCTGTGGGAACCCCTCCAGGCCAGTGGCCACCGAGGCCCCGGCCCAGCAATGCTCTGACGCCCTTTGCTGCAAGAGACAGTGGCTTGTTCTCCTCTCCCTGCCCCCCTGCCTAGAGGGTGTGTGCACCTCGGAGAGAGAGAGGTGGGGGTAGAGGGAGCACCCCAAGGGAGGCTACGCTGCAGTCACCCCTCCACCTCTCCGTCGGGGACTTGGGGCGTGCGCACACCTGCCTGGTGTTTCTTGAGTTGCCGTGTCTGGGACAGACGTGAAATCCGGCTGCCGTAACCACCAGGCCACAGGGCTGTCCGACAGGAGGCCTTCAAAGGTGGGCAGGCCCCACGGTACGGCCACTCATTCTGTTGCGGGGTTTCAGAGCTGACCGAGTGCGTGAGTGAGTAAAGTGGGGGTCGCTGACAGAGAAGGCTCCTGAGAGGGGTCCTGAGACAGGACTGGACTCGGGGCTCCCGTCAGGTTTTGGCAAAGGGTGCCTATGCTCAATGGGGAGAGACAGAGAGGGACAGTGAGAAGTCACCCCCCGGGGGACGGCCACACCACAGTCCCTTCTCCTCCGTTCTCTGGTTGGGGTTCTGGGCAGGCACGCACACGCCCAGTGTGATTTTCAAGCTGCTGGGTCTGGGACTCAAACCATGATCAACCGTGTGGGGGTCCAGCGCCCCAGCCACTGTACCACCTGCCGGCCCCTCGTCAGGGGGTTTTACCCAGCAGTCTGAGCCATGGGCTGGCTCTCTGCCGAGGGACATGTCTGGGTGAGTGGTTACCCCTGCAGTGTGGGGCCTGGCCAGGCGCCTGCATTTTCTTAGCACTCAGAAGCTTTCCCGAGCTCTGGCTGTCTCCAACCCTGAGGCGGGTGGCTCTTGGTGAAAGCTGGGTGGCTGTGACCCCACCGTGGGCCCGGGCCCTGCCTGCCTGTTCGAGGTTCCTGTCTCTACTCTCAGCGTCTCCCACCTTCCCGGCAGCTCCCCGGCCTCGGCCAGCCTGCAGGTGCCGCTATCTCTCAGCAGTGGTGTCCAGAGGGGCTCCCAGCCCCGAGGGAGGCCTCACAACCCAGCTGCCTGCACTGCACCCCCTCCGGGGACCGGCTCCTCACCCTGCATATGTCCCCAAGACTAGTCTCTTCTTGAAAAGCGTTTATTGGGAACAGCGGACGGTGTAATGGTCATGTCCGTGGGCTCCCATGTAGACTACTGCGGTTCTAGTCCTGGACCCAGCACTTAAAACACGCTGGGCGCCCGTGTGCGTGCCCAAGATCCTGAGAGAACAGAGGAGAAGGGACTGCGGCGCGGCCATCCCTCCTTGGGGGTGACTTCTCACTTTCTGTCTCTTTGGCGAGCACATACACCCTATAGCAAAATTCTTTCTAAAAAATAAATAAATAAAAAATAAAATTTAAAACATTTACTTCTTGGGACCAGCAGTTGGCGTAATGGCTATGTCGTTGGACTCCCATGTAGTTATGTAGTTGACCGCAGTTCAAGTCCTGGACCCGGTGGCTTAAACTCACATTGGGGCACGTGTGCATGCGTGCCCAAGATCCCAAGAGGAGAATGGAGGAGAAGGGATTGCGGCGTGGCCATCCCCCCTGGGGGTGATTTTTCGCTTTCTGTCTCTCTGTCTCTTTGTCTTTCTGGCGAGCACATGCGCCCTATACCAAACCTCTCCCCCCCAAAAATGTATTTCTTTTATAAGAAAAAGAGATGGGGAGAGAGGACCCTGGACAGGCTCTCCATGGCATGGTCCCCTTCCCTCCCCTCCGGGTCCTCACTGGGCACGCACTGGAGCTGCGGTGGGTGGACTCCGACCCAAGCTGTGGTTGGCCATGGCTCTGGAGCCACAGACCCGCGGTCCCTTCTCCGTGCTCTGCCTTCCCGCCCCCAGGCCGTGCCCAGGACTGCCCTGGGTTGTGGTGACTGTGGTGGCTGCAGATGTGGGAAAGCGGGTGCCCCTCTGCTGCCCTCCTGCCTGCACTCCCCAAGTGCCTGGCCCTGCCGAGTGTTGGCCGTCTGTTA